GAATATAAAAATTCCAAGTGTCAGGAATATAATGTTTGGCATAGAACCTACGGATGTCATCCTCTACGAGTTTGGACACCGACCCATCAATATACGCACTAGCTTTGTGCCTACGTCCGTGGGGTTGTCGGGCTAGGATTTCGTCGTCACTAGACTCATGAGAATCCATGGACATTTTCAAACCTGAAAATGCACCCAAGGATGTGAATGAGCGTGCGAAAACACAAGCGAAATGAGACAAGGTGACCAAGGAGTCCTCGGGAAATTGTTTGGGACTTAGCAGCAAGTAAAAACAAAATGAAGAGGTATGTTAGTTCTTGTTATGAACAAAAGGAAGGCAAAATTCGAGTCCTTGGTGAACATGAAGAAAGAGTCTCATATGCCTAAGGTTATACTAACTTTGGAGTGTGCCCATATAAAAGCTAGCAAGCCACATACATATTTTTACAGGAAAAAAAATAAATAAATAAAAATAAAAAAAAAAACTCTTACCTCTAGTGAGGCTTCAGATAAATTGGTTGCAAGTAGAAAGTGGAGGAGGCTTAAATATGTTAGTATTTTCAGTGGTCTCTGTTAGCTCTTCAAAGTCCTTGGAATAAAGCAGAAGAAAAAGGACCTTTGTAGGAGAGTGCCTTTGCTAAGGGAGATATAAGCAATTAAAGCAGTAAAGGATCTGATAGATTAATTTGACGCCGCAAAAAAGTGCTGGACAAGAAAGTCAGCAAGCTGCCAATTACAGCTTTTTCTCTCCCCCAAAACCCACGTGTTGGGCAGCCTATGGGCTAAAAAATAAATAACAAAAAATAAAAATAAAAAAGAAGGAGAAATAGGGAGGCGCAGCCCTAAAGCAGAAAAGCTGCCAACTGCCAAAGCAAAAAATAAAAAAAAAAATAAATAAATAATGTTGGAAGACTTATGTGGTTTGGACAACCTAAGGTCCCAAGGTCTCCAAATGATCTTTCAAGTGCCCAAGGTCTCAAAGGTATCTCATAAGATGTCTTGAAGTGTTAGAAAAAAATTAGTCCTCGGACTACCGAGGTCTCCGAAGAAGCTCCTCGGCCTACCGAAGTGTTAAAAAAAATTAGTCCTCGGACTACCGCGGACTACAAAGAAGCTCCTCGGCCTACCGAGGTGTTCAAAAAATTAGTTCTCGGATTACCGAGGTCTCCAAAGAAGCTCCTCGGCCTACCGAAGTGTTCAAAAAATTAGTCCTTGGACTACCGCGGACTACAAAGAAGCTCATCGGCCTACCGAGGTGTTCAAAAAATTAGTCCTCGGACTACCGCGGACTACAAAGAAGCTCCTCGGCCTACCGAGGTGTTCAAAAAATTAGCCCTCGGACTACCGCGGACTACAAAGAAGCTCCTCAGCCTACCGAGGTGTTCAAAAAATTAGTCCTCGGACTACCGAGGTCTCCAAAGAAGCTCCTCGGCCTACCGAGGTGTTCAAAAAATTAGTTCTCGGACTACCGGGGACTACAAAGAAGCTCCTCGGCCTACCGAGGTGTTCAAAAAATTAATCTTCGGACTACCGCGGACTACAAAGAAGCTCCTCGGCCTACTGAGGTGTTCAAAAAATTAGTCCTCGGACTACCGGGGACTACCAAGAAGATCCTCGGCCTACCGAGGTGTTTAAAAAATTAGTCCTCGGACTACCGGGGACTACCAAGAAGCTCCTCGGCCTACCAAGGTGTTAAAAAAATTAGTCCTCGGACTACCGAGGACTACCAAGAAGACCCTCAGCCTACCGAGGTGTTTAAAAAATTAGTCCTCGGACTACCGGGGACTACCAAGAAGCTCCTCGGCCTACCGAGGTGTTCAAAAAATTAGTCCTCGGACTACCGCGGACTACCAAGAAGACCCTCGGCCTACCAAGGTTTAAAAAATTAGTCCTCGGTCTACCGGGGACAACGAAGAAATGCCTCGGCCTACCGAAGTGTTCAGAAAATTAGTTCCCGGACTACCAAAGTCTATGACGAAGCTCCTTGGCCTACCAAGGTGTTCGAAAAATTAGTATTCGGATCATCGAGGTCTCCAAAGAAGCACCTCGGCCTACTGAGGTGTCCGAAAAGTTAGTCCTTGGACTACCGAGGTCTCCGAAAAAGCTCCTCGGCCTACCGTGGTGTCCAAAACATTAGTCCTTGGACTATCGAGGTCTACAAAGAAACTCTTCGGCCTACCGAAGTGAAGTATATGTCCAAATTATTGCTATCGATTTTGCTTAAGGAAAATGCCAACGCTACTGACGTCGGTAAATAATAACTAGCTACCGAAGACTTGAAGAAATAAGGACATGGTAAGAGAAAATTACCAAGGTCTGAGGACTTTCGAATGCTGACGTCGAGCTTGACAAATCGATGCAATCCCAAGAGCTTGATTCTCTCCCTCTCTCTCTATATCTCTCTCTCTAGAAAGTAACAATGTGAAAAGTGAGAAGAGAAATGAGAGTGAGGAATTTTATAGCAAGCAACTGGACTGTCTGTCTACACAACTGTACTGGAAAGTCACCCAATGCAGATATTAACCTGTGAATGTCTCATCGCTTATTTTCTGTACGCATAAACGTTAATGCGTACATAAAATGGGGGGCAAGTGATAAGGAAAAACATATACATTTATTATACGACACGTGGCTCGAGAGGATGAAGACACGTGTGATCCGAGGACTGTTAGAGTTCAGGATTAAGGCCGAAGCCCAACCCCAATTCAGGCCCAAGGTCCCAAAGAGCTTTACTCCGGCCCAATGTCCTGAGGAGAATTACTATAGGCCCAAGGTCCAGAGGGGCTTTACTTTGGGCCAAAGTCTGAGGTCAGCCCACGAAACTTATGGGCCAGGGAGTCCTCCGCCTGCAGAAGGGAGACCTAGGTCGTGTGACTCCTATAAAAGGACGACCTAGGTCAAGGTAAGGGACATTCTGAACTCTCCAGGCTCTCTCTTCTATTCATTCCGCAGCCACCCCCTCAGAAAACCTAAAACCTATTCTAACTTAGGCATCGGAGGATCTACCCCTGGGGACAACCCTGGGGTTCTGTTTTGCAGGCGTTGGAGCAAAGAAGACGAGTCAAGGGAGACGTCGGAGCATCGTCGCCACGTGTCCTCTGACTAACGTCAGGTAATTCTTGTATCATCAGTACTATTACAAAATCTATAATTGAAAAAATATATTTTTTTAGTTAAAAAAGTTATAAGTTTTATTTTAATTTTTTGTATTTTCAAAAAATTGTGCAACTATTTTTTTAGTTTTTTTTTTTCAAAACGTACTGATCTTATATCATAATATTTTCCTCAGCGAATTCAATATAATAAATTTAGTAGATAAATTTACTAATTGATAAATAATAATTTTATTATTTTTTATTTAGAAAACAACTTGATTAATTTATGACGAGTAGAAAATTAGTTTTTGTTGCATACATTCAATGCAGATTAAAAATCATCAAAATAATTAATAATTTGATATATCGTAATTTTTAATATATATTTATCGTTCAAGTACTTTATTACTTTAAACTTTTTAATAGCTCTGAATAAAATTCAAAATCTATGAAACGATTATATAAGTGCCTAGTTCATAATGCATAATAATATATAAATTAATGAATGGAATAGAGAACCTCATTAACAGATTTTTTTTTTTTTTCAACTTAAAATTGGACTACATTAGATTAGAATCATCATCAGTAATATAGAACGACTACAAAAGAATATTGATAATGTCAACGATAAATTACACTTTGCCTACTTAATTATCGAAAATTTACACTTTACATAGAAAACATTTTTTTTTTACACTTCATCTACCTAGTTTTGATTTTTTTGTACTCTTTGCCGTTTCTGGTCACCGCCATCCTCATAAACCAACACGTGCTTTGTGCCTTATTCACACGCGTGGTCGGCGGTGACAAAAAAGGGCAAAGTGTACAAAAAATAAAAGTGTAGACAGAGTGCAAAAACAAAAAGTTTTGTAAGTAAAGTGTAAATTTCTGAATAGTTTTAGTAAGCAAAATGTATTTTTTCCTAATCTTAAAGATAAAATTCAGAAAGTTTCCATAACAAAATTAAATTATCACGCCAAAGGTTCTTTTAACTACCAATTTGCATATTTATCAACTGCTAACATTTAAAAAAACAAAAACACTATCTTTCTTGATTTCTTGTTTTCAGTCAGATTCATGGCTGCTTCTCAAGCTGCTGCTTTGAATCTATTTTCGCTGCCAAGACAACATCATCTAAGAATCCTCTCTGAGGGAACTCATCAGGTACGAGACTTCGATAAATCTCGAAATTCTCTTCAGCTTCCTCTGTTTTCTCCAGTAAGCTGTATACGAGTCCCTGAAATACATTTCACTTACTGGATTAAATTAAATTACGTGAGCTTTGAGGATTGTAGGTCATGAACCCGAGTTTTCCAAAAAATAAAAAAATAAAAATGGTTTTCCTTACTTTTGTTCTTAATTTTCTAACAAAAAATGAAAAATTATTGGATAGATTACAAAAACTTTTCCTAAATGTTTCGCCCGACGAGAAAAGACTATACTTTTGATGATCAACATGGCTATTTCGAGTTTGTATGTACTATGGTAATTTGCAATTCTGTACAAATATCGAAGGGTAATTCTCATCCTAAACAACTTAGCTAGGTTTTGTGGGTAGTTAAATTTGTCATTCACAATACATTACCTCAAAATCAACCATTTTCTTCTTTTCGTTTTCTGCTATTCTTTCTCAGAGTGGGCCATGAAATAGATGTCCACGATTAGATTGATAGATTCAACAGATAAGTCAGCTTATATAATCTACCTCTGAAATAACCCTCACTAACATATACATTCCTAGCATATAAGTTCAAACATAGAAGCTACAAAATGATTCTCAACAAATATAAATGGACTAATAAGTATGTTTAAGACAGAATTATAAAGCAATTTATAGTGCTTATCTACATGACTAACCTGACATAGGTAAGGTCGAAAATCCCTTGGATTCTCCTCAATAAGATCCTGAAAGTTCTCCAAGGCCTCCTCAAAGTTCCCCTGCAAAAATTTCGAATGAACAAATTTTTCCTTTTTCTTTTGTCTTTTNNNAAAAAAAAAAAAAAAAAAAAAAAAGCATCAGATTTTCAACATTTCGCATTTGAGTTTCTCCCTTTTACTTTGTTCTCATTTCCTTCTTTGTTTTTGGAAGGTTTGATATAAACTTCTTTAGTTTGAGAATCTGAGATATTGCATTCTCACATATATTGTTTCTCCCTTATCCATATAATGAACGGAAAATTGCACTAAAGCTGAAGTAGTAACACCCAAAATAAGCCAGTAAAAATTCAGAATCAAATGCTACCTTTATGGTATGCATTTGTGCGATTAAGATTCTAATATTTCGCTCTTCGTTGACTCTTTTCTCTCGACGAGCAATCTCTAAGGCCTTATCTAGCATCGCAAAAACAGCTGGCCCTTCTTTCTTCTTATGCATCACCATTGCCAACCCCTAGAAAGGACAATTTGGAATCAGGTTAAAAAATTATATAGCCAGCAGAGATAATTACAGGAACTCAAATATTACCCTAGAGATTGGACCAAATTATCCAAAAAAAAAACACCAACTTTTAGAATTACCTCAGTGCAATATATCTATAAATGTGAAGGGGGTTTCGAAATGTCCCTTTGCATTTGAAGGGGCTAAATTGACTTTTATTAGTGTAATTTGAAAAATAATTGATATTTTTTCCCTTTTCATCAGGTCAAATTTCAAGGGTACTTTTTACAATCGCTCAACCATAATTCAGCATGCAGCAATTGATTAGGTAACATACGTTTGGGAGAGGGAATAAGTTAAATATGATAATATATTGAGATTTGCTACTCTACCAAGAAGCAAGTTTACAATTATTGCAAATACATTACACACAAACCAAGCCATGTCTATGATAAACTGAGGACGTCCTCCTGGAAGATAAAATGAATACTTAACACACCATTTTTGTTTTTCAACAAACTATTCCAGCATAAACCAAATTAGTAAGAGGAAAATGGAGCTGAAAACTGGATTTTTAACTCCTTGTTGTTCCTGAAATTATTATCTTAATAAAACAAGCAAAAAAATTTCTTGGCAACCATATTCACTCGCACTCTTCTACTAAGTTGATAATGAAGAGAACAACTTGATGTTCACAGATTATGTTGACAAAGTCTCTTAATAATTATAAGTTAAATGTTAGCCAATTAGTCATAAACTCATCATATCAATAAAGTAGATTATAATAAACTCGTCACAAGAAGTACCCTATGGAAATTTTTTGAGATCTCTGAGAAAAGAATGCAACGATGAAGAACAGACGGAAAATCAAACTAAATGTAACAGACACGCATTTCAAAGAATATAAAAATAAACATCACCAGAACAAACAGAGACAAAGATCAGACAACAAAAGTGTGAAAGCGTAAAAGACATGGCGGAATTAATATGTTGCCATCCAGATCGACAATTGATTATACAGCCAAATTCAAGACCAAAAACATTCTTAAAGGTCGACGACTGCATATTCATAAACGGAATTGTCATTTTTTCTTTTGCCGAATCGACAGGATGTATTACCAAACCCGAGTATATTACAATGAATTACACAGTACTTGACAATAACCAAAAGCATGAACCATGAAATTGTAATGCTAAAAGCAAGCAATAGATTCTTGATCAAAACCTGGAAACTACGTTAAGCAGCGAAGAACACAAATTCTCACCAACAAGGAAAAAAAGTAGAACACATTGCAGATGCCACTAAGATAATCAGTTCACACATTCAAAAAGCCATTAAAAAATAAATACACACCATCAGCAGCAGCAGCAGCTACAACTAGATGAAACCCAAATCAACTCAAAGTCGGACATTATTACCGTACATGCAAAGCTTTGAGTAAAAGAGGGCTCTGCTTGAGTATTTCCTTGAACAAGCTTTTGGCCTTACTCAGGTCCCCCGTCATCTCGCAACAAAGGGCCTCCAAAAGCCTCCACTCCATCTCATTAGGCTGCAGCTCGATCAGCTTCGCCACATACTCCATGGACTCCCCGGGTTTCCCCTTCTTCATCTTCACATTCACCACCATTTTCAAAGCCTCGATGCTCTCCGGATTTTGCTGCAATAATTTCACACACATAATTTCTTCCTCATCTTCTTCTTCTTCCTTTCCGCGGCTTTGCTCCGACTGGGAATCGTTTTCTTCGAGAACCACGCTTTCTCGAACGGGCTCAGCTACAACAGGCCTTGATTTTGAAAAGCCGATGAAAACGAGCGACCCAAGTAGCACAGCCACGAATGTCTTCACAAAAATTTTGGAGATTTTTTCCGGCGGCGGGGATAGAAAGGCTGCAATAGAGTATTTCGAGAAGGGTGTCGATGAGAAGTAAGGTTTTCTGATAGGTTGCCGGAGTTTAGTGTGGATAGAGATTGAGGATGATGAGTGGAATTTAGGGTTTTTATAGGGGATTAGGTTAGGAAATTTGGGGGTTTTGCTGGAGTACTGATGAAGGGACAGAGAGAGATTGGTGAGAGACGAAGCTGCCATTGTTGGGCAGCGAAAAGGTTTGAACTGTTGGACAGAATGTGAACAAAAATAACACAATACAAAAGAAATAAGTAAAATTTAGAATGTCTTTTATTTAAATGTTTTTTTTATAGATAAAACCACAAATTTGCAAGAATACAACTTCTAGCTGAATAATACAACTAAAAGTTGAATAAACTTGGAGGCCGGATTTGAAGTCTGCCTAGAACCGACACAAACAACGCTTGAAACTAAAATACAAGACTCAAGAAAGGATAAACACTAAAACAACTAAACTATTAAACTCCTAACATGAAAATAAACAACAAAAAATTCTTTCTTGGCTTTTGGACCAACTTGTAGGTGGTTGCATCAATTGACGAGGATTCTTTCTTTTTGGGAGGAGAATTTTCCATCATAGGCAAGGTCAAACTAGTCTCGATTATTCACCAAGTGACTCTTTTCAAGGACAACAAGATAATTATCATCATGGGTTTTCAATACGAGGAATTGGATCCATCATGGCATGGAGGATGCGAAATTAACAAACAATCGCGATTCATCGCGCCCGGTCCAAAGGACCTTGAATCTTTATCCTATGATCAGACCAAGAACATTGCTCTAGTGTTTATTGAAACTTAGGTGATTGAGTAAACAGAGTACGCAAGGAGTGTTCAAACACCCGAATTAAAAGCGGAAGCAAATAAACTTAAAAACCTCTTCCGAAAGCATCCCACTACCCCTACAGAGCTCTTTCATTAATAGATCGGTTTTGCGTGTACAAAGATACAAATTGGACTTATGCGTCTAGAACTTCTTCCTAGTCTGGCCAACAATATATTTGACTCTATTAACTACTTATCTGGCCACAAACACTTGAAATTCACAATAGTTATGAATTTCTCCCAACTATACAAGTACTTAATCCATAAGCACAATAAGTGTTTGTAAATGAGAAAACAAACTCAGTTCTTCAGTAGTGTAAGAACACTGAAAAACTGAATCAAATAAAAAACAAAAACAAAAAGCTCACAAACACTCAATGAAGCTTCAAAGTATGATAATTATCCTTGCCCAACTTCTTTTTTATTTTTTTTTTCCTTACACAAGCCGTCTCCTACAAATAATCAAAACAAATATCATACTAAAAACGACTATATATATGTAAATAAATTCTATTAGATACTAGGAATTTTTTCAATATAAGACCCGAAAGATAGGTTAACTATCAAATCGGGGTCTGAAAAATCTATATATATATAATTGCTGGCATGTAGCATTTAATAAAACATTTAATAAAACTTCTAAAAATTTTCTTTCATTTTCGGTTACAAAATTTGTCATTAATATTTTTTACTTCTCACATTAATACATGTTAATGAGTGTAATCATGTATGTTTTCATTATATTATATAATAATTATTGCTAATACCAACAATAATATTTTACAATAAATATAAATTACATAATTATAAACAATTGTTTCGAGTTATGTATTTTAACATCAATATTATTTTTTTTCTTTTTTATCTCATAAAAAAATTCTTTAAAAACAATTAGTAAAATTTTTTAATAGCATAGTCAACAACTTTAGAAGTTTATCAACAATTGTTTTAATAATAACAACAACAATAATAATAATAATAATAATAATAATAATAATAATAATAATAATAATAATAAACAAACTTTTATTATCTAATGATAATATTCAATTGTTCATAATAATAAAATCGTTAATTTATTTTTCTTAATGATGAAATTTTTGAGAATTTTAATATTAAATTCTCAAATATTACTTATTAATATTTTATGTACATATGTACATGTGCACAGAATATCTACTAGTTCTTTCTCTCAATTCGAGACCTAAATCTTGTAAAACTATCAATATTAGTCTTAAAACTAACAGAAATCATAACACCGTTAAATTTAAAATTAAAAAAAA